ATTGATCTCATCCAGTCTCCTTGAGGCATCAGCAACGAGTATATGTGTTGTGTTTTTTAGTGTTTAATAATACAAAAAATAATAACAATACAAAAAGAACAAGCAATTGAACAGAATCAACTAAAACATTATAATATGAAGCTATGATTATTGCCACAAAAACCGATTAATGGATATATGTGCAATTGTTTAAATGTATCTATTTGTGTGTTTTAAATGTTGTTAATTATATGAGTGAATATTATTCTGTTTATTAAACAAATTGATTATTGTTTTCAAAAACCAATAGTATAAACGATTTGAAGGATAGTCAGATTTTATATCAACTTTCTGTGATTAAATAGATTGATTGATAAATGCGTGTAGTCTAAAACCTTCTTGTGTTAATTACTTTTTAGAATGTATTACATACAACATTATAATAAAAAGAATATGCCATTTTAAAATTTAATCATAAACACATTCAAATAACTCATTTCATTGGATATATTGATCATTTATTTTTTTAAATTTTTTAAATATTTAATTGTAAATATTCTATTCAAATAAACATTAACATAAACTGTTTTTCAAAAGTCGGTACTGTCATATTTTTAGAACTTCCTAAAGTCCCGTTTTTTATTTTTGTTTTTTCCTAAAAAAATAAAAAACAAAAAATCGAAAGTACTGACTTTATTTTGAAAAAAATACCAATCCCGTTCAATTATTTTCGTACAAATTCGGGAAAATATTGGAATATTAGCCATCTTTTTCCAAAAAACCCGATCCCGTTATTTGATTTGATATCAACTCGATACTTCGCAACATATACACAGCATTGTTGGCCTAAAAGCACAACAATTAACGTTTAAGTGAATTGGGATGGTGTTATTTGTGTCGAGTTTTAACTGATAATTACTTTCGTTTAAAAATATTTTCAATTAAAAACAAACATGTGGTTATCTTCTCTGAATAAAAAATAATGAAATATAGAGTTCCAAAAACACCAAAATAATTACAGCAAATGTTTGATAATTTTGACAGTCATAAGTCAAAATTGTCAAAGGGCAACACAAGAAAAATAATACAAAATAACAATAATGTTTTGTTATTGGATATTTTAAAAAAGATGTTCTCACTGAAATGCTCAAAAAGAATGTCGACTTTTTAAAAAACAACGAAGATAAATTATCAAATTATTTTGTTATTTTTATTGTTTTTGTGACAACACTACTAAGCATACTAATCTACGAACTAAGCTTTTGTTTTGTGAATATTTCATTAATTAATAAAATGTTTGATAATGAAAAAGATTGACATTAAGTTTATTTGCTTTTGTACTAAAATGCACTTTTGGGATAATTCGTGTGTTTTTCTGAAACAAAAATCCCGTTATTTCAAATTTTATATGGATTTTTTTAATGCTTAAAAATTCTTCAAGTAAAAAAATATTTTTTGAAGACTGTTTTTCTCTTTTTTATTTGGAAAAAAATAAGCGAATTTTATTACAAAAAACGATTCCCAAAAATAATAAACAAAATAAATGCAAAAAATCGGGACACCCCAGTATTGACTTTTGAAAAACAGTTTATATAATAACTAATTATTATTAATTTGGGTTTAATATATTTATTATATTAATAGTTATTTTTTAGTAAAATATAATACTAAATGGTTAATATAATCATTTTATTAAGTGTTACATGTTATTAGTATAATGAATTAATATAAACATAAAAACCCATAATAATAAATGTTAATAGTAATTTCATGCAAAAGAAATAAAAAAACAGTATATGTAATTGATTGTTTATAAGGTGGGGTTGGTTAACTCTTTTGTTTAGTATAGTTTGTATATAAAATAACAATATATAGTAAATTTAAATAAAAAATATAAAATATGTGATATAAAATAAATGTTCATATTCAAGTTAGATGATACAAATTAATATACTAATGTTAATAAATGAATACATAATATAAACAATGAATTTAATGTGACAAAGATGGTAAAGTAATTTGTGAAATCAATTTGAAAAGTAATCTAAATACCATATAGATAGTTAATGATATACCCCGTTAGCTGACCGAACTATAGATGACTTAGAAACTATATTTTATATAATACAATAATAATAAATATATGGATTTATTAATTATAATTTTAACATTGTTATTTATAACCATATTAATTATAAATTAATTAATTATAAAACAATATTATTATGTAATATAGTTAATTTATATTTATTAATATAATTGTTATATTTTTAAAATTTATTGTAAATTATAATTAATTATACTATTAATCAAAATTATTCAAAAACTATATTTAATATTATATTTATTCCGGGACCTACATTGACACCACCACCTCTTAAAATAGATTTATTTTTTCTATTTCGAATCATATTCAAATTAAAATTATAGTAAATAGGAAACTGGGATAATATTAGGTCTGGTTCCCGAATTCAAAAAATGCCGAAAATTCACCTCGAGTTAGTGGAAACCAAGTGAGACGGAGCATTGAAAAGAAGGCTCTGAAGACGCACTCAAACAGTCTGTTTGTGCACCATTTCACCCACTTTCCAAGTCCTCCCTTGGCGCGGATCCCCCATGACCCCCCGCAAGCGGGAGGGAACCACATCCGCGTCCACACAGTACGGACAAGGAAAGTGGGTGACATGGGTACGCACAAACAGTGACTGAAAAGTGGACTCCCTTCAAAAAACACTCGCGGCAAATATTTTTTTTGGTAAAGGTGGTGGTGGTCAATGTAGGTCCCATTTATTCCATGTCACAACCAATAATTTTTTCAATCTAAATAGTAAAAATATCAATTATTTAACTAATCCAAATAAAGACTGTTATACTATATTATTGTTATTATTATACCATTTTATTTCACCTGAAACGACGCGTTTGTAAGTGCTGTTATTTTTTATTGTTTCTCTATTAAAAATACATTATATTTTTTAAAATAATCGGGATGTTTGTGGAAAATATAGCCCATTTGTTAGGTATAAAAGAATCTAACTTAACAATCCTTATATTCAAAACCCTAAAACCGAAAACTGCTACTTTTTTTAAATATAGAAATCGCCCACAGTCAGCGACACGTATTAGGATTAAGGATTAGGTAAAAAAGGCCTAAAAAGTTTTGGCATAAAGCAGAAAATTGATCAACCATGATGCAAGTCTTTTATTAAATTCGTTTTTTATTTGATTTATATAAATAGAAAAAAGTTCAAATTTACACATTATTTTTTATTATAACTTTATATAAAATGAAACTAACGAAAGATTATTCTATGATGTAATTACTTTTATAAATTGAATAAATTCAAATCTGTATATTATTTGTGCGAACTATTAAATGATTTTTGTTTTCTAATACGTTCTTTTCTTCATAAATTTTAAAATGAAATTTCAATTTTCCCAGATTTTTTTCCATCAACTTTTCTTTTTATTTAATCATTTTATCTCATTTTGTCCATGTTTTTTGTAAAAAGGTATTGCCAAGTAAGCCAGTTCAGGTATGGCGCTTAGTGCAAGTATGTCGCAGGTTTTTAATTTATAATTTGGGAATGATTGTATTTTTGTTATTGTGTATTTTTATTAAATTATAGATTCGAAATTCTTTGTAAAATACAGTTAATTTCTATAATAATTAATTCGTTTAATTAAAGAGTTGTTTTTAAATGTTATTTTGTTACAAACATGAAAAACATGAAGTTTAATTCTATATTTAATTTTGTACAATAAAAATATAACAAATAAATTAAGGTAAATTAATTAAAAATTGAATTATTCTTTCGACAAAATATCCAAAACTTAAAAACTTATTTAAATAAACATTACATTCTTAACGAGAATGAAAATTATAAATGATATTTTAATTATTTAAACGTTTTAATATTAATAACATGTTTATTATAAATTATTTTTTTAGTACGTTTACATTTACTTACCATATAAATCAACTTTATGACAAATCAAAATTACCTTATATACCTATTTATATATACTTTTAAAAATATTCATTTACTATATAAACTCGAATAATAAAAGCACTAAACATCAAATGATTTCCATCTTTCTTATTGTCCTAGTAGCTCAGGCTGAATATCTTATGACCACCTACGACGAATATATGAATGTCTACCAACTTGATAAATGTTATTATACTGGAAGCAACACGTATACCAAATACAGCAAAGATGGAAAGAAAGCCAGAAGTTATACATCAACCACGTGTGACAATTGGGTTGATCAAGGTCCTTTTGAGCTTAATAACAATCAATTCTTTGTGAAAAACCTTCCAGAATACTCAGCAATTGTATATTCATACCTTGATGCAAAACACTGCACCATTAAAGGAAGTGGTCCATATCCAATAGAAATGCTTATAAAACCTGGGTGTGTAAAAACTTCAGAAACATCTTCGTCAAAATCAGAATTTGTAGATGATTGGTTTATTAAAAACATTTACGATGAAT